AGACTTGTTTGTGTAGGCAGACTGAAGTAATCCATGAGATATATTCTGCCTGTTGCTGTGAAGGCTTAGATGCCTCTGAGCCAAACATGTGCCTTGGGCACTTTGGGAACCACTGAGTAGGACAGCAGCTTTGTGATAGCATTTCTGACTTCATATCCTTGATTTGTTAAAATCCTATGTAGGGTGCATTTGAGCCTCTACAGCTTTTAGTGCATAAACTTTTGCAATGTTGTTGGGGTGTGTTTTAAATTCCCCCCACTTATGGTTGCTCCCTCTCCCCCTCTTTATGTTAAATGGTCCGGCCTCCCTTCTTCTCCTCCCCCCTCCGTCTGCCAGTCATCCCTCCCTCCACCCCATTGGTTAAGTTATGCTGAGTCACTCCCCTGGCCCCTCCCCTGAGCCTGTCCGTTATTCTGAGGCCCCTCCCTTTCACCTAGAAAGTTCTACCCAGGGCCTCGGCTGATAGGCTGGTCCCTGGGGTCCCCTCCCTCCCTCTCTCCCCATTGGATGTTTCCCCTGCTTGTCACCTCGGTTCCCACCCCCAGTTGTTTTCCCATTGGTTGACTGTTGTTCCCTCCCCCATATAAAAGGCTGTGCACACAGTGCTCGGTGCCTTTTGGGTCATATCTGCCTTTGAGACGTGGTTGTCTCCTCAGACTTCCAATAAACTCGGAACGCTGATACCCCCAAAAGGATGACTCCCTGCTTTTGTCAGTGTCGTATCATGCCTCCTCCAGTCTGGTGGCTTTGGCCTCACAGGCCATAGTTCCTGCCCGCAGTGGCAAATGAACGTGGCCCTTGCTGCCTGCAGTGCCAAGGGTACTGGGCTAGTGCCGACTGAGGAAGGCACTGTGACACAATGTATTCATCAACTTACTGGAATTCTCCTCATTAGTATTAAATAACATTGACTTCAGTCATCCTTGTGAGTCCCTTCCAACTTAGGATGTTATATGATTGTATGAACATCCTTTTTGTCCTCTCAGGATTTGAAGTTCCCCCCTTCTCAAATGCTAGAATATTATACTATTCATGTTGTGCCTCCATACTGTTCCATACAGTGCTTCAAGGACGCTTAGATTGATGAAGACTGCTTTCTGGGTGTTTTTTTCCCCTTCTGTTTTATAACCAAAGCCGTCAATCCTCTTCTAAAACCTAGTAGCAAATTACATCAGTCACTGTGTAGTTGTCAGAAAAGCAAGGACAGGGACTGAACTAACCTGGATTGTAGAGGAGGGATGTTTCACACAGTCAAAGAAAAATCATGGGTCTGCTGAGACAGATTGAAGGACTGCACTAAGGATGTTTACAAAACCTAATGCTGGGTTTGAGGGCCTAGTCCTCTGACAGCTCATATCATCAATGAAAAAGGAGATATGTCCATCCAAACAAATAGGCTTTACTCTTACTTTTTTAATCTTTTTCTGGTCACCATGTGGCTAAAGTAATAAAAAAAACAAAACAAAAAAAACCAAAAAACTGAATAAGAAGTGTTGATAGTTGGAGATTTAGTCCAGTTAATTCCCTGGGTACTGCCAGGAGATAACAGTTCGGAGAGAAAAATGGTATCGTATCTTTCTGTGCAAGTAAAACCTGCCAGCTGAACTAAGGTAGGTGGTTGTGGTGTCTACACTTGGAGAAAGGTGTTGAAAAACTAAAAAGGCTTCACAAACACATTTCAAGAATCACCAGGGGTCCATAAAACTCAGTGTTACAGGGAGAGACACCCAAGAGAAGATTCAATACCAATAAAAGTTGAGAGATTGTTTGATGGTGAGCTCTATTGTTCGTCTTGGTGGAGGACTTTTAGTCCAGAGGTAAAAAGGTGTAATAAGCCTTAGTGGTGAGAAGCTGGAACTAGTTCCAAGCAAGAAAATGCACATTTTTTTTAGTAGTGGAAAGAAGTACTTCTACCCAAATAAATTGACTGGGAGAGATGTGGGAGTTTTAAGTTGTTTTATGTTTAAGTTCAGTTTTAAGGCCCCAGCTGCCTGCTCATATGAGAGCCTACAGAAGGAGGTGAGTAGCTGTATCTCAGGTATTCTCAGGTAAATCTGTTTTTCTGTGTCAAACTCGTCTTCACTTGTGGCTGTAGCTTCTCTTCCAGGGAAGTGGGAATTTTATATGATAAATTACCTTAACAATGTCTGCCAGAGCTGGTGGGTTGTGTCCTCAATGCTCTGAAAGTACAAGTTGTGAGACCTGGTTGACACTGACTACCTGTCACTTGGTGAAATAATTGTGACTAAGCAGGTTGGAGGGGTTGTCAGGGCAGGATGCTGAAATTAGCTTGTTTTATGATTATAACTGGATCCCATCTCCAGGGTCACTTCCAATGTGGAACAGCAATGACGTTGACAAGGAAAACTGAGTACCTGTGCCAGAGATAATTAGGTACAGAGTGGTTGAACATAAGATGTAGGTAAAGTTGTGCTGGGATACACCATGTGTGAGGTATGAACACTAACACAGACCTGCAGTGCACTCTTGCAACCTGTGCCAGCTGGGGCTGTGAGGGGGAGTGCTGTCAGCTGGTGAGGGAAGGGACCCTCCCTTCTGTTCAGCACTAGTGGCACACTTTGGGAGTGCTGGGACCAGTTCTGGGCACCCCAGTAGAAGGGAGGCATGGATATACTGGAGTGGGTCCAGTGAAGGACCATGAAGGGATTGAGGCATCTGATGTATGAGGGGCTGTAAATACGTGATGAGGGGACTAAACGCAAAGGAATCACGTGCTTCTCAGCAATACCCAATGGCAGGACAAGAAGTAATGGACACACTTTGAAATACAAGAAGTTCCATTTAAACATAAAAGACTTGTTACTCTGCAGGTGATCAAAGACAAGAAGTTTGCCCAGGGAGGCTGAGGAATCTTCATCCTTGGAGATGCTCTAAAATGTGACTGGACACAGTCTTGAACAGCCTACCCTAGCTGACCCTGCTTGAGCAGGTGGGTACTGGGTCAGACAATATCGAGAGGTCCCTGGCACATCAGACATGCTGTGATTCTGCAACAGGAGAATACATGTTATGGAGAAGAAATGCTGGAGATGATGACACTGGCCCTACTAAGACAATGTATCATTTAAATTCTCAGGTATGCATATCTCACGTATGTATGTTTTGATTAGGACTTTTATTGTGGCATCAACAGTCAACTGCTGTTGATTAACCCGTTTACTTCTTATGAGCTTCTTTTGGCATACCCTATTGCATTTTAGGACTCAGTCTCAGATCTAAATATTTGGTTCTGGTTTTGGTTTTCAGGTTCATGAGCTTGCATTTGTGATCACATCTGAATTAACAAAACTGGACAATGTTTTTATCTCAACAATTGATCAGTCAGTCTGTACAATAGAACTGTTACCTTTATTGTTTTTCACATTAGCAGTAATTTGTGTGTCATATTGCAAATTTTATGTACAGTAATGCAGTTCTCACCAAGAACATTGATAAATGCTCTTGGATTGGAAAAAATTAATACCCAAAAGATTCTTCTGTAAGCTTGAAAAATACGCAATCCCTTGAATTGAAAACACTTCAGCAATAGTGTATTTTTATGACCTAGTTTTTAACCAGTTTTAAAAATTAACATGTAACATGCTACAATTTTTAAAATATATATTTTAATGCAAGATTATGTCAAATATTTGGCAAAGACACAATTTCAGCCACAATCTTCATTATCAGTCTAATGCTTAATGTCATTAAAACAGTATCAAATTTGTTTGACTGACTGGGTTCCTGGGAAATTGTGTTGACTGATGTTAATAAACCCATAATCCATTAATTCCTTCATTAATATCCCATATCAGCATTTCTCTTTGTTTGCTTGATGATACTTGCTAGCTAAAGCTGCCTGTAGTTACCCAAGTGATTATATTTATTGCCTGAAAAGGCTGGTTCAACATTACCTTTTTCTATACGAGGTCTGAAATTCAAATTACCGCGGTGCCATTGCCAAGGGCCCTGACAGCCGAAGCACAAGATTGCCGAGCAGGCCATTTTGCCTTCGGGTTTTTAACCCTTCTCCTCTTCCTTAGGGGCGACGGAAGGTTTTTGCCGCCCCGGAGCTGCGGGTGCCCGGTCCCGTCGGGGCGGCGGGCGCAATAGCGCGGCGATGCTCTAGATGGGGCTTCAGCACCGGCGGAGGCAGCGAATAAAACCGGCCCTGAAAGGCGATGGAGGGGCTGGAAACCGCGTCGTCCCGCCTTTAAATTTGTCCTTCTTCCTTTCATCCAACTGCCTTTTTTCACAAGGGTTTGCGAGTAACTAGAGGCATCCCTCAAGGCTGGAAGCTGGAGCCAGTATTGTTTAATGTCTTTATTACTGAGCTGGCCAAGGGATGGAGTTAGCTGGGGCTTTGGGTATATATTCCCACTCCTGAGGTTTGGCTCTTGAGCTGGGGGCTCGTTCCATGCCAGTGCAGACAAGAGTGGTCTCTAAAGTGCTGTGGAGGGCGTGCAGCCGGGGCCAACCCTTGCCATCGGCAGCTGCGGTCAGCTGCGTGTCTTGTGCCCAGGGGACCTCAGCTCATGCACAGGCAACACGGTGGCTCTGGAGCAGCCTGGGACCGCGGGGTCTGGGCTGACCCATCACCGCCCCAGCCCGGCCCTGCTGGCTCTGCAGGCGCTGTCATCCTTGGGGACAGTGTAACCCCATGAGGCAAGTATGGGCCAGGATGCAGTTCCCTATAAAAAGCTCTGGGATCCTAGTGATGAACATGACCCAGCATGTGGCTTGGTATTTCCAGTACAAGAAAAACATTTAAAACGCGGATTGAACTCTGTAAAGGACCACAAAGCCAGTGAGGAGCTGGAGCACAGGATATTCAAGGGAAGGCTGAGGCTGCTGGCTTTGCTCAGCCTGCAGAAGAGATGCTTCAGGAAGAACTTAGTGCTGTCGCTGTTACCTGCTGGGTGGGTATGGGGAAGATTTATCCACACTCTTCCCCAGGTGCCCAGTGGAAGGATGAGAGGCAGCTGAATGCACATTGCAACATGGGGAATTCTGACCAGATGGTAGGAGAAACATGTTCACCATGAGGGTGGTCAAACACTGAAGAAAGATGCCCAGAAAAGCTTTGGAATCTTTAGTTAAGACCTTAACTGGATACAGCCCCAGGCAACCCAACATAGTTGCCTCTACTTTGTGCAGCTTGTTTGACTGCTGGCGTCCAGAAGTCCCTTCAAACGATGGTAGTCTGTAATGTGGTGATTCTGAAATTGTGTTGCTGTTTCCAAGCCAGGAGTGTGCCCTGCCCTGTGCTGCCTCCCAAAGCATGTACAGGGATCATTGTGGAGAGTGCTAGCTGAACCATGAACACCATGGCACTGTCTGTGGTCACATTTTCACAGGGAAGGAGACAGAGTTACAGTTCTGAAATAGTTTGAGTAAATAAACACAGTTTCCTAAAATATAAATTCAGAAGATAAAAACGCCTCTTTATTTTCGTGCAAGTGCTTGTTCATTCTGTTAATCTGATTTATGACAATAGTTACTAATGTGAAATTCTGATCCTTCTCAGGCTGTGTTCTGCAGAGGGATCATCAGTGGCTTGTACACACCAGTGCAACTAAACGTAGGTATCTTTTCTCTAGCAGAGATATTTCCTTTGTACTTTTGTAGATTGAAACTTCTTTTTGAAACAGAAATTTCAGAACTAAACTAAAGAGTTCTTAACATTTGACTGATTTCCTGTAATAATACATTTAGCTAATTACTAATTCCTTATTCCTGTTTAAGATCCATTAATATATTTATGAAACATGATGACTTTAAGGATTGCTCAGTTTTTCCACATACAGAAAACAGGATTTACTTTATACATATTTTTAAGCAGGTTTTCAGGAGAAACTGAGGAAGCTGAGAGACTTTCCTGCACCTTCCAAATTCACAGTGTTGTTCCTTGGGGGAGAATGTAAGCCAAAGGCAGTGAAAATGCCCTGCCATCAGCCTTTCTCTGTTTAATCTATTAGCCACTCAGCTGTATAATGTATTATCTGTCACACAGTGATAAGCAGCTTAGCTCTCTGAGATCATATTAAATATGTTTGATTTAGCCTAATTCTGCAGCGCTCCATGAGGAAACACCCTGATGTCCACCTGTAGTGGAGCCCTTCTGAAACCAGTGCAGCTCTGCACAGGGATGGGACCCCCCTCCATGGCTCATGGCCTTGAAGGAGAATATTCTGACTGTCTTCCTTCTTTTCTAAAGCCCCTTCTGCAGCTCCTGCTATGAGCACTGTGAGGAATGAAATATTCAAGCAAGCCCATGCCCTAGAAAACAAAAATATCCCTGTTGCAGATCATCCAGAAGTTTATAAGTTAGACCTGCCTTGTTTAACAAGCTCTGCTGGAAAAGTAGGTTTTAAAAATAACTCCTTCCCTGCATTTCCCATACTTTTAAAAGTATATCTATTTAATATTTTGTTAATGGTTTATTGGAAGCTGGACATCACATCTACTCTCTATATTGTCTTTAATTACATATAAATTTCAATATTTTTTTTTCCTTAGAAAAAGCCCCGAAGCCTGCTAAAAGTCCTAGCACTAATACTTAGGTAAGGTAACAGTCTTTGCCTTTTTTTGCCACCTCTCTGAGGTTGATGGGATAAAGACTGTGTAATGACAGATCGTCTCAGCCCTTTCTCCACAGTGACTCCAAGTGTTCCTGGCATGGATGCATGCACTCCTTGGCTGTTCAGGGAGCTCCATCTGCAGCTCAGTGATCACAAGCTGGATTTTAACCAATAGATATAAATAGATTTGATGGAGATGATGAATGTGATAGTCACCCTTAGACAGTTACTGCCAAGAAGACCATAGTATTGTTAAAAAAAAAATCCAAAATGTTTGCTTTTTTAGAGGGGCAGAATGGTTACAAACTGAGCTGGAAAGCAGCAGTTAAAGCAGATGTAGAACTTCAAAATAGTATTTATTGATATTAATGTTGATTAATCATTATAAATACAGCACTGGCTAAAATGCTGGTCTACCAATATTGGTGGGTAACCCTGAACTAAGAACCGATGAATACTGCTTGTGGTAGGAAAAGTAGAATGAGCACAAGTTTCTGCTTTTTTGTCTTGACATTTCTGTTCATTCTTTGCATATTTTAAAACACAATCACAGCCCTCAGTTCATCAGCTTAAAAAAAAGGCTGCTGCTCAGGTTTCTTCTCCTTATAAATTCTAAAATGAATATTTTAAGGGCATTGCATGTACTTCTTTTGGTGGAAAATTACATTTGACATTGATGTTAAAGGTCATATGACCTCACACAAGATGGGTACCAGTACTGAGAAAACTGAATAGGGTGGTACAATTTCCACAGGATTTAAAATTAACCTCATTGGATGATTGGCTTACATTTCTAATCCGATATACCAGGCTAAATATAGAATTTGAAGACAATTTCTTTCCATGCAAATAATCACTGCAGGCTGAAAATGAGTACAAAATTTAAATGAAGAGAGAAAAATACTAAATTAAATTATAGACAAACTGCCATCTTGCTAGAGTATTGACCTGAAACTGCACATACAAAAGGTGCCTGCAAGGAAGAGAAGGCAAAAGGAGAAAACAATAAAAAGCAAAATTATTGTGTTTGCATATATATTTATAGAGGGAGATTTTCTGATGATGTCAGCAATTTCTGTCAAAGATCTATCTTCAGAGGCATCACTGTTGACTTTCAAACTTTTCATGTTTTATTACTGCATTTTAATAATTAACTATGAATGGTGTCCCTGAATGATCTGTAGGGGCAATGAAACATTCATTATTACTAAAACAAACCTGTTCTTTCTTTAAAAAAAAAAAAAAAAAAAAAAAAGCAAGAGGACAGCAAAACCTTTAGAAAATAACTAATATGTTAGGAAATGCTACAAATCAATACTACAAAAAACTCCAAGGTTCCAAGGTCACAGAAAGAGAGTGGGGAAATGAGATTAAGACTGTATGCAGGGTTGGTTTTTTTATTGTTGTTTTTTCCTCCTTTAGTCTTCTGAATTCCTGAAGAATATAAATATCATAAAATATATTATGTAGGCGGATGTAACATGAATTTAGTAAGTCCATACTAATATTCTGTAGATAAGAGAGATGATTCTATATAAGAACCAGCTCTATGACACTAAACATATTTGGAAACAGTCTTTCATTTCCCATATTAAAACAAGAAATGATTTTCCATCTGACAGACAAAAAAATATTTGCTTCACTGACAAAGGTTCCTATCTCTCTTGGAATTCAGCAAGTTCCAGACATAGGAGAAATATTATAACCCAGTTTACTTGGTTTTATTTGTTAGTGTAACTTGTACCAAGAAATATAAATAGCCCTTAGTTCCTGGGGAAGCTCATAGCACTGTTTTTGATCAGTCTCATGAGAAATTTGCTCTGAATACGTAGAGGGTTTATTCTTAACACATGAATTCCAGCCTGTGAGAGAAACTTTATCTTCAGCCATGATCTTCATCATATCCTAGTCCCACAAGAATCATTCTTATTGGTTCAACATCTGTGTTGAACCAGATGCAATTCCAGACTAAGAGGTGATGCAGCCCAGCCTTGGAAGTGGCAGCAACATGGAGACAGCGTGAAGATACCACAGATAAAGCTGAATCTGAGTAAAATGTAGATGTCTGGAGGTACGGTGTCCAATTATTTACTGCTTATCATGCTTAATAGCTACGTGGCAGAAAGTGACAAAATTGAAAGATCCTAAAAGAAACATTGCAAGACAGGCTGTCTCTCAGAAGTTGCTTTCAAGAAGATATGCAGGATGCATATGATTCTCTGATTTTCTGCCTGCTGCACCTAGGTTGGCAGCTAAAATCAGAAGCAAGCCTGGTTTCTCTAGGCCCATGTCTCACCACTGGGTCATATAATAGGTTTGTAAGGCTCTTGCCAGTCACATTCTAAAAAGAAGTCTGCTCTTACTTTCATGATGATTCACAATTGTTTCCCAGCCTGAATCTGCAACCCATGTTGTGGAGTATCTGTCTTTCATGCAGATAGACCCGTTTATTTCACTGAATTCTACTTGTCTGAGTGAGGTCTACTCAATGGGAATGAGGACTGCAGCTGCAGACTTTACTGATTCAATGGGGATTCGAAGTGACAGATTTGAATTGGCTCTGTGGGTAAATGAAAGAATATTTTTCCCTTCTGTCAAGTTTCCCATGAGGTCTTTGCTGAAGCCTTCCTAGTCCTTGAACTGCTGATGATGTGACAAGGAACCCCTGACACTGGCCTCTAGTGCAGCCTATTATGTAGTCCAAAAACTCTGAGAATGGGTCTGTTGCATGTCCTGTTATCTAGATTCCATTGAAAGCTACTGCATCCAATTATGACACAATTGTGTTGAGTTTAATATTTCTCAGACTTTCCTAAGCTTTAGTTATTATCTTTAAAAAGTTAGTATTGAGTCAAAGTTATCTCCTGTTGTTTTAAATAGGACTGGTTGAGGGGTGGAGAAAGTTTACATATTGAAAGTAGACAGCACAAATATTCACCCACATAGGGTCTGATAGAGCTGTTATATCATATTTGTCCATTTGTGGACCAATTGTGGTCAAAAGACAACTTCCTGTATACAAAAAAGAAAATTTAGACAAGTAAGGTTTTTAAAATACTGTAGCTTCTTTCTCAGGAGTTATCTAAGAGCAGCCTATGCTAACCATGACTAAAAGAGGTTATGACTGAGACAGGTATGCTGTCAAAACAAGTTTAGCAGCATAGTTCCTTGGCCATACCTTCATTATTTATTTTATATCTGCTATTCTGAAAGTAATTTTTGTTCAGTCTAGCTGCATTTAGAAAAAATCAATGGCAGCTTTGAAATGCTTACTCTTGCCATGCCATTAGCAGAGCATCAGACTTGACCCTGCTGGCTGCATGATGTCCGTTGCTTAGTGAAATAGAAAGTATATCTTGAGGAGATGGTTCTGATGAATTGACAAAATATTTCTTGCAGCAAGATTAATTTTGCTAGCCTCTCCTAGCTTCTCATTTTGATCAAGCCATGTTTGTTTTACAGATTTCCCATGAAAACTAGTTGTGTGTCTTTCATCATCCTTTTCTAGTTAATTAAAAAACCCAAACAAATGGGGCTGTATTAGCTTTTTGCTCTTCCCATCCAATTCATGTTCTGACTAGTCTGGAAGCTGGCCTAAGCTGAGCCTTCACTGACCAAAGGCATACATACTTATTGTGTCAACCAGCAGTTCTCCCAGTGGAAAAACATGGATGCAAAGAATGTAATTCCTTTTCTGCAAAGAAGAGCGATGGTAAAATCAAATGTGACCGGGGTAACAGTACTGAGTTTTGTAGCTGACTTTTGGAAAGTGCTAAAAATTCTAGTTAGCATTTTCACCACTTTACATTTTACAACTGAACAACAGTTGCAGGTTAATTAGCCCCCTATGGAAAATACTGCTTTCCAACCACTACCTCCCCAGTACCTTTATAGCAGAGGAAAATAAATCTCAGGCAGCTCTGAGACAGTAGCAGCTGCACCAAAGATCTGATCAGGGAAAACTTTGTGCAGAACACAGGACATGGAAATGCAAAATGTAACTGACTTAATTCTACAAATCTAAAAGGAATAAACAAATATTAGCAAAATGTTCAGGGTTACCCTACCAAAGAATACAAAATGTACATCTACTTTGACAGGCAGGTCCATGTTTAGTTCAAAACAGTTTGGGTTGAGACTTGTAAGGTGATGCATGGAAGGACGTGAATGATTTCTCTACCCATCACCCGACCCACTGTATGGTTTCTCATTTATTTAGCTGCCTTTTTGTTTGGCTTATTGCCTCCTACACGTTCCTTTGTTCAGTGTATTGGTTGCACAGGTTGTATCTACGTTAACTTGATGGTGCCAGGCCAGGCACCTGGTTTCCATTCTGTGTGCTCTGGCTCTGAGTCTACATCTCTTCACCTTCTGTCCAGGCAGTAAAGGGTCATCTTGATTCAAACTGCCTATGACATTGCAATCACTTCCCATGTGGGTCAATACAGCCTGTCTGCAGCACAGGCCTAATTACTGCTGCCACTCTTTCCTGTTCTGCCTTCTCCCTCTACCAGCTTCAGCTCCCACTTGCTAGTCCCCTCTCGAGATTGGGTCATCCCCTCTCCAGTTTGGGAAACAGAACCCATGTGCTTTTTCCACTCTCTCATTCCCCTTGGCCCCTGCCCAAGAAGCCAACAATGTCAAATGTCAGGGCATCACTCCCCTGGTCCAGAAGAATGCCAGCAGGTTGGCTGCAGTTGTCTGCACTGCTTCCACTGAGTTAAATTCATGCTGCTCGTGCGTCCTGTGTGTGGGGAAGTGCTCTGTCAGTCTGTGTCACCTTCTGCAGAGAGATGGGCTACACCTGAGACAGGGTAGGGGCCAGCAGACCACTACTGGCCACCCATGCTGCATGTGGGGACACCTTTGGCCTCTGAGACGAGGATTAAACGTGGGTGCCAAGGATTTGCACCCTCAGTGGGAGGTGCACAAGTCCATCTGTGGGCTTGAACCCATGCTTGAAATGCAGAGCACACATAATCCTTATCCTCAAATTTACATCAGCTTTCCACATTTGAAATGCTTTCCACCTCTCTGTTCTGTGAAACATCTAAGCAACTCCTAAATACTATAAAAATAAGAACTATTCTTAGTTCATTTAGTGCATGCACTTTAGGAAAGTTGACAAAATTCACGTACTCAACTGCACTGTACTCTCCACAAGATTGCTCTCTTTTTGTCCTTGCATGTGTAAATATACTGCTGACCCACTTCTGCATCCTGCAAGAAATTAGTCTTCTAAATTGCCTTGTCAGAGTGGAACTGAACAGATATGGGAAAACTGCTGAAAAAAAGCCAAAATGAATGTGGTGGTAGATTGTTTTTCCGAGGGCTTGGCAGAAGATCCCTCCCGGAAAGGGCTGGCAGGAATGTAAGGCTCCGTGGCTGCTCTTTGAGAGCACTTCACATCTTGAGTGCTTGCTAATTTAGGTTTCATTGGAATGGCAGATGGAGAAATGAGATTTGTGGGGGCTTTCATCCCTCATCCCTCTGCAGCAATGTAGATTACTAAATGTTGTTCAAATCAGAAATACAAATGCAAACCTACTGGATTTGACATTGTTGGGCCTGATTTGCTTGCAGTATCTTGTGCTGAAAGTGTAGACAAGGTAGAAGGCTCGACACTGACTGAAACCTGCCTGAATTCCTGCTCCTCAGTCAGAGCCACCACCTTCAGTAACAGTGGATCTTTAAAGACACAAGTAGAAAATGAACTCTAGAGCTTCTTACACGATGTAGCAGGAAGCTTAAGGAATGATGACTGATTTACACAGAACATGAAAGATGTTTTAACCTCCAGATTCAGTTGACTGAGCAAGTCAGATGACTGACCTATATCAGATGTGGAATTTCACAGGAAAATGTTTTTCTTTGCAGAGGTGCTTAGTATTAGGAATTCATGGAGGGAATCAAAGCAGCCACAGATACTAAAACTAGTCATGTTTTAACTAAAAAGCAGCAGATTGTGACTTCACCTAAAGAGCAGCCGCTGAGAAGAATAGACTCATACAGGTTTTTAATTGTCTAAGTACATTTAGATATAATGGCATGAAGAAAGGTCTACTTAATATCTCTGGAATTTTATGTAAATTTATTTGTTTGTTTGGGTTTATTTTCTTCTGTCAGTTACAAAGAGATGGTACAGAAATAATTCTGAAATGAAGAACAGATGTACCTCTCTGCTCTCCTCAACCACAAATTTGTAAATTCCACACATTTGTAAATGCAAGAATCAGTAGTTTTCTCAAAATTGTTCCAGTTCTGTCTCTTTCCAAGAGCCTACTTTAACACATGGGCTTCGTTGTAGCTTCAGAGTAATTCAAATCAAAAGAGAAAGAGCTCTATCTTGGGATGTTATCTCTAAAATCTCACTGTGGGGAGAACTGAGAAATGCTCTGAATGTAAACTTCTAGCCACAGTGAAGGTTCTGGAAAGAACAGAGTCTTGAATGAAACTGAGTTTGTTATTGAGAAACATCAATGATTAATAAAACATAAAAAAAATTTTTGCAAAGGATAGAGTGATCTCCTTGACTAGGATCTGCTTGGTCTGTTGTACATGTAGAGGAGGATTCATAGGGGTATGCACAGCCCATAGCTGCAGCTATTAAAGCACAACGGAGAAAATGTGCCCTGGGGGTTACTTCTGTGAAAAAATGATACCTTAAAAATACAGTGGCTTCTAGGATGTACGCTTGGGCTCCAAGCAGCATTATCTCATGTGCTTTCAAGCTGTGTCTGGCCAAGACAGCTATCAGCCACCACAATGAGTGCCATTACTCAACAAGTGAAACAGTCACGTACTTACATTGCATTATCTCGGCCATTTTGTATGGGTTAGAGCCTTTCAGTTATCTTTCTCTGGTGTTCTGCAGTGCAAGAGCAGCTGATGATACTCTGTAGCTCTGTTGAAGCCGGAGCACTGTGTCTTCTCTACCCTTTGACTTCATTTACTTTTCCCTACTATGACAGTCACATTTCTACCAAAAAAAGATTGATCTGAACTGTCAGAGCATTTAATGGCATACTAAATCTGTAATTTTCAACATGTTTTTATACTTGGAATTTTTAAAAAGTGATAAAGACCTCTTTAGAAATCTAAAGTATGTGGACTGTGGCAGAATCTACAAGACTTCACTGTTTCTTAGCAATGTTTCACAGAACCCAGAGAAATAACTGATTGGCACCAACAACCCACAGACCAGAAAACTTCTAAAATGCCTTGGACAGACTGCTTCTTTCAGGTGGAAATAAAGCTACCTTAACAATTTTTTCAGTCCCGAATGTAGTACTTTGTTTCTCCCATATTTTTATTCTATGCCTGTTTCATCTTACTATACAATCATCTTTTATCATAACTAGAATGTCCTTTGTTCAAAGTTGTACTTTTATACTTCTATTTCCATATACTCACGAGCCTTGGGTTTGTGTGTACTTTGTTACCTTAGCAGCAGTAAAGTTCTGTTTAATCTTCCATGAAGATCTGGCATAACAATGAACCATTCTTACCACAAAATCTTTAGAAACTATCCCTGCCCCCCATAAATTCTCATTGTCTACTCCAGTCTTTCTGCATGTTCCTCCTGTAAACATGGGAAACTGCTCATAAATCATTTTAGCAATGTTTATAATTTATTACATTTCTTCTACTTAACTAAAAGTTCCCCTTTGTCTTCAAGTGTCCAGAACTGTACAAAAGAAATGGAGTTACAGGAGTGGCCTCAGGACATTTACCAGCAGCAGCTGCAGGACAAAGGGTGATGTCCAGTCTTAACCCGTACACTACCTGAAAATGCAAAACATCATGAGATGATGTCCAATAGGTTTCACACACCACAGAGAAACAATTCTCTGCTTAGGAGCCACATAAAGTAAGATGCTGCTCTACAAGCATTAAAATCTTCAGCTTTTAAGTGTAACATTTATTTTTCCTAACTTTCTGGATTACTTCCACAATGAACTAGCTTCATTATGTGTATGGAAAGACTGGCAAAAGAGAGACATGAGAAAGCTGTCTGGTTTTTCAATTCCCATGTTGCATCAAAGTTAATACTGAAAAGTGCTAGGTGCAAAATTTTGAGTCCAAAGTATGATAAATATACTTAAAAATTGAGAACAACAAGAATATTCATTGGAATACAGGGTGAGATTTTTCAACATCAGTTCCAAAGAGTGTTTGAAAGGATCCTTTAATCAAGTTAAAGGATTAGTTATCATGTGGGCAGGGAGCCCCCTACTCTTTGATGATTTCTCTAAATATTTATGGAATAAAGATGCTGAAGCTTTGGCTGAGGCTGTGCCAAATGTGACAGAGGGAAGATCTTTGTGAGCTCTGGTACTTTAGCTCCATTTGAGTCCATCAACTCTGGCCATGAGTTTAGCTGCTTAGACTTTGTTCTGAAGTTCAAATAGGAACCTACCAACCCAAGGGCTAAAGGAACAAAAGGGAGACTCTGAAAACAATTAAAAAAAATGTGTTGTGTCTTGTCTGTCCTTTCCCCCCCATAGGTTTTGAGGATTTATGCAGCTTATAAAGACTTTCAAATGAACTGAAATTAAAGTTGTCTGTTTTCCACATGGGAAAGGAGACTGTATCTGTGGCTTTTGAAGCTATCAAAACAGAGGATTCTTATATGAAGAGGAAACAATCTTAAAAATACTTTAGTTACAGTTTTTACAGTCCCTTTAGAATTCTTAATTTTCTTATTTATAGGTCATGCTTTTTCCATATAATGCCATTGCCACATGCTTTCTCTGGTTTATTGGTTAGATGTCAAGGTTGTCTCTGAGATGTAGGAGCATTCTCTTCTATTTAAGGAGAGATAAAGATGTCCAGCACCCTTCAAATCAGTATATCTTTTTTTTTTTCTGCTTTGCAGTATTTATGAAATATATTAGTGAATAGGAGTTATTAATATTATAGTTTAAAGCTGTGTATTAGTGCTGTGAGTGAACCATGTACAACCAGCTGCAGTGAGTTGCCCTGATTTTGTTTAATAAAATGAGAATATAGCCAAAATAGAATATTAAACCAAATATTTTCTAGTTGTGAGTAAATAGAGAAATACGTAGGAAGTAAGCACCTCCATCTTTTAAAGAAAAACTTTGAGACATACAAAAAAATTTGTTGTCAGAAATAATTCTGCAGCATGAAGGAAATTCACTGATTAAGGTAATGAGAATTTTCCAGCAAATGCCTGTAATTACTCACCTATCACAGAATTTTAACAAGTTGCTTGGTGTTGCCTTATGAACCAACATAAAAACAAGTTTGTCTCCTTTGCTGCTTTTCCTGGTCATTCAGCAGCAATTAAACAATAAACACTTGTTGTTCACCAGTTTGTGGTTCCCATAGTGAAGGTTATGCTCAAATGAAGACAGGAGCACTGAAGCCAGAAAATCTTAACCTTTGTACCTAAGTGCACTCCAAAAAAGTTTACTCTTTTTCTCTTTCAACAAGCACTCTCACGAAAGCAAAGTAATGCATACATCTCTGCAAGATTGGTACTCGAATTCCTGGTTTTAGGAATTCCTGATATTATATTCCTGTTTTATATTCCTGAATATTAAGCTCCAATCCAGAGGACAGTGAAATCAGCAAAAAGCTTTCTAATGAATCCCACAAGATAAAGCAAGCTCTAAGAGAGCACTGAGAGTTTTATAGCTCTTGCTAGGTACCTTCCTCAAGTAATTCAGGATTTCAAAATAAATAAGCAATATTAAATTGTATAACAAGCTTTAAGGATATATTTAGTAGCAAGTCGAGGTCTGTACTTAGTCTGAACTGTGGAAATTCACTGAGGTAGTGGCAATGCAAAGGTGTGAAGGAGGATGACACAGCACATTTCATCATTGGGGTGAAACAGTGTGAAGGGGGAATTTAGTCAGAAGGAATGAGCAACCATCTGGCTGCACGGAGGGAAGTAGGAGGATGAGGGTTTAGACTGTAGTAATATGGATAAGGTTGTGAGCTGCGTGGTTCTTGACTTTATTTAACGGCAAGCTGCATCCTCACAGGGCCAAAAGCTGATGAGGACCGAGTTGCTCTTGGTCATTTGCAGATGAGCTGACTGATGAAGGGTTATTTGGGGTTATCTGCTTATCCTGATGATTAATAGCATCTGTTCCACAGCTGACAATATTGGGAACTATACATCCATACCAGGGAGTGAAACTGGGCAGCGCTGTTTAACTCCTTTAGGATATATGGCATAGGACAGCCCTCTCACCCATTGTCCTGCGTGTCCTGCCTCTCCTGCGTTGTCCCTGTTGCTTGCCTTGCCAGGAATGCCTGTCCAGAATGGCTCATTGTCCACCCCTTTGGCGCAGTTAGCGGCGACCAAGGGGCCAGACCCAGATCCAGCGGATCAGATCTGGGGGTTCCGCACTGGGTAGGAGGACCAGGAGCAGCCCGAGCTGGAGCGAGGAGCAGCCATCCAGCCGAGGGGCAGCACTTCCAGGCGTTGTTCACCTCGACCTGCGGGCAGCGCACCTGGAGGGCGGCATAAGCCCCTCTCAGCCTCTCCCAGGCGCACGGTGGCAGCGGGCAGTCCCGGGCCCTGGGGCACGGCAGCTGGGGCGGGCAGGCTGCCGCATGCCTCCGTTTGCCCGGCGGCTGGGGGCGGGCAGACTCTTTCCTGGCTCGCTCCGGGCTCCGTGCTACGGCTGTCCCCGCCCGGGGAGGACTACAGCGCCCGTCGGGCCCTGCGCGCCGCCCGCACACCCCCGCCTCTGCCGCTATCGCTGCTCCTGGCAGCCCGGCTCGCCCGAGGGAGAGGGGCTGCGCGGGCAGAGCAGGGCAGGGCAGGGCAGAGCAGGGGTGCTGCGGGCGGTGGCCACGCTCGGGGGCGGCGGCGAGGTGGAGCCGGGCGGCCCCGGCCCCGTCCCGTGCCGGGGAGCGGCTCCTCGCAGCCTCGCTGCCCCGTCCCGACCGCTCCTGTCTCCGCGGCTCATGAGGTGAAGATGGTGATCCGCGTCTTCGTCGCCTCCTCCTCGGGCTCGGTGGCGGTGAGTGGGGGCGAGCGGCGGGGAGCAGCGAAAGAAGCGCGGCCGCCGCGGGCAGGGCTCAGCCTGCGGGGCCGGGGACTGCGCGGGGCTGGCCGCTCGTCCTCCCCGCGCTGCCCAGCCTGCCCTCGGCTCCAGCCTTGTCCCCGCACGCCGGCACGGACCCGAGGCCGTCCGTGGGCTGCCCTGGGACGCGGGGCTGAATTTGCCGCGGTTGCGTGTGCGATGGGGGCGGGAAAGACAACTCTCCTCCGCAAGGCTGCCGAAGCTTAACTAGTTCGTAAATTACCTTTGGCAAACCAAGCACCCCGAAACCTTTGTAGGGGACAGACAAATCTTGGGTGTATTTAAGAGTCTTAGTGGTCGTTAACTGGGGCTAAACTTTCCCTGTTGGGAGGCGACCAGCGCCGCGGTGCAGGGGAGCCGAGCCCGGGCAGGTGCGGTGCCTCGGTGCCTGCCACCCACGGCCGGGTGGACAGATAAATACAAGTAGAGACTAGGGACAGGCTTCAGGCCACCAGCACCTCTCTGCGTTAAGAAACACTCTGGAATACGTACAGCTCTTCTCAAACTCGCTTTTGAAGGGCATCACTGCATTCTCTGTTTAATTGAAGCTTATACATCATTCTCTTGTTTAATTAATTATGCGTGTGTCCTGTGAATTTCAATATTTTCGTATAAAGTGACAGCTTTCTATTAGGGAAATCTGGGCATAAACATCGTACTGAATTCATTCTTTAAAGAAAAACATCAAAAGGATTTAGATATAATTGATATTCTTTATGCTTCAGCAGTGAGTGCAGCAGCACTTTCTGTGTTGCAGAAGGACGTAGCACATTCCTGTCTGAAGATTTATTGTGTATTCAGTTCCTTCAGCCTTTTACTGTGTGGATCTAGTGTTCAGTTCAGTAACATCATGACAGGTATGTGTTCTGATATGTTTTGGCATGAAGCGTTCAAAGTGCTTAGTGGCTGCGTTACAGCTAATAAAAACTAATTATCCATTTCAGTAGCCAACCGAGTAAACACAGCATCTTCAGAACTCTGTAATTCATGTCTATCAAGCATCCATAAGAGAAACATCATCTTTCCTGCGTGGGTAGTTGGTTCATGCTGTGGTAGTGTAGCATTGCTGGTTTTAGTTTCTGTTTCATGCCCCATGGGCTGAACAATATACATAGTTTGGTATTTTGTTTTTATTGGAGGGGTAGAGAAGGGCCATATAGTTCACTCGCCCCAATGTCTAGTCTGCAAGGAGGATAGGAGCTTTTGATTCTGCTCTCTCCTTACCCTGTCTGCCTGCAAGGTACATATGCAGTTAGCAGAGCAATATAGTCCTCATAACTATCTATTAACCCAGCAAACTGAATTTGAGTCAATTGACAAGCAATTTGAATTGCACATCGGTTCTCTTGCTGACTTTTTTTCTGGGTTGGACAACAAGAAGATGACAGAATATAGGTAACAGTTTGCATACTGGTGATAGTCAACTTTCTTCTTCATCTAGTCAGTAGTACATCTGAATGCAGCCTAGCCAGAACATAACAGATGATCCAGTGATTGAAGGTACTGTTATAAAGGGCCAGAGCTCTGACATCTCTTTTCTGTCAGTTTTTTTTTTTTTTTCATCTGTATTATCAGAGCATTTAAGAAGTTTAATTATGGGCTAGGTTCCTTCTGTTCTCAGTGTGGCATCACAGAGGCTTTCCATTTTTTTCTGTAGGCTTTGCAGGGGATTTCCCTATATCCAGGTTAAGGATGGAGGAAAATGACAAAGAAAACACTATTATTAGCTAGTTATGTGGGAATCTGCATCTGGATAGGAAGATGGTTACTGTATTCCGTGTCTTTAAACAGTTTTAAGGGAAGCTTTAAACTTATTATCATCTTTCTAGAACTAAACATTAGTGAAAGGAAAGAAAAAAGTATTTGAGACATACAATTGTCATCTCCTCCAGCCTTCAGCACTACATCAGCTATTTTTGGGTATCCTGTGCAATTCACAAGACAGAATTATTTCCTCATCGAGAAAAACTGAGTACCCCATATAGATCCTACTCTGTCTCCTACTAAAAATGGTGTCAGAATCCATGGTTTAATTTCTACCTGTAAGTCAACTTGAGTCAAATTGTAGGCTAACAGCTTATAAGAGTGGGTGTTTTTGACCAGAAACTTCCATATGTAATACTGACTGACAAGAAAAAAAAAAAAAAAAAAAAAAAAAAAAAAAAAAAAGCAGCGTCATTGTGACGTAATTATTTTTCCAATCTCTAGAGATACTTTGTTAAATTACTCTTAAAATGGAAAGTCCATGTAGTCTCTAGAGTAAACCTTTGTTTTGGCAAATATTATGAGCTAAACGCTTTGTGTATGACTCCTTTTGAAATCTTCAGAATACCCAGGTCAAATGATAGGCATTTGGCCAAAACATTCCTGAGAAATACACTGATTGTGTACTCAGAAAAGGCTTTAGTTTGTATAAATATAATTTTATCTAGAAACCACTAAAGTATTTATTGATCTCAATACTTGGTATAATCTGTTTTGGGCTAAAGAAGATAGAACTATAATTGTCATGCATAATTCTAAGAGTCTAGTTCATAAAATAATTTGAGGGTCATTCTAAAGAGTGAGAAAAGGAAGTAATTGAAGCCAATGAGAAGGAGCCAAGAATAATGAGAATTTTCCCTTCATTCAGTTTTGGAGTTCTCCCTGCAGCATCTTCCAAACATCTGAAAGTTCTTAGACCCCCCCGAGAGGTTAGTTCTTGTAACTGCTTTTTGTTTGTTTAATAAAATTTGTGACTATAAATGCTTCATGAGCTTAAGATAACTCACAGATCCCAAAAGGTAGCTGTTGCTGGAGTGGAAAGATTGATCTTCAGTGTTTAGTGAAGCTGGACAGCAGCTTTAGCCTGTAGGGACGCTGTCGGGAAGTTTCTGAGACCTTCTTGTGGGAAGGGAGGAGGGAGGCATTGTGCGTGCGGGTACATTTCTAAATCACCTCGTGTTGTTTTAAGCATGCATTAGGCAGATTCAATGGAGTCGCAATGTGAAGCCTCTAAGTAGGCAGACAGGCATGTTTCTACAAGCCTTACTGTCTCCTGCTCTTTCTGACCTGAATTTCTACTTGTGTCGGTAAGCTGTGTCTCAAATTCCAAGCACTTCTTTGTAGGGCTGGGGAGGCAGGCTTTGCTACTCCTCCCTGATAAGGACAAATCAATGTTCTTTTGTGTCTAAGAGAAAGGTTACTTTAAAAGTAGCCTTTACTTTTCTCCCTCAGCAGTGCTTCACTGTTCTCAGGAAATAGTTTATGTCCATGTTTTTCACCAAATCATTCCCAGATGACTGTCATTTTATCTGTTTCACTTTCTCCAGTCTATCAATGAAAATTTACACTTGTGCTACTGTACTACATACATAGTACATCATAGTTAAATGGGTTTCAGTGTTTTAAAGCAGCTTTACCTTTGTCAGGAAGCTGGTAGTATGAGCTAAGTAACTTTAACTTTGGAATTCCTGCAGTTATCTAGAAATGCCAAACCAGAGAAGACTTCAGTCTTGCAGTTAGAGGGCTGAAGATCAGGTCAGGGAAATATCACTGAAGAGCTGTTAAATAATGGAGAACCTTCAAACAACTGCCTCACTTGTACTTTCTCCTTTGTGGTGTTAATTTATTGAAACTTCATCTATTGAGCTGAACAATAATATGGGGAAATTCATGAAATTGTGGCACAGCAGGTACAATCTATTTTGACTAGTGAGATATGTGAAACAATTTTCCATTGAAATTTTTGTATGTTCACAAGATGAGAAAAACAGGTAACTGAAATTAATTTCTTTTATTTCACAAAGATAAGTGCTGCTCAGCCACATTCTTCAGGAAAAGATATTTGGGAGGACAGGAGAGTTTGGGGAGGAATAGCAATGACCTGAAAAGAATAGACCTTTTAAAGTGACCAAAACTTGGACTTTGACTCTTGTGACTGAAGAGGATTATGGGTTTTTTACTAGGAAGCTTGATAAAATAGGTGCAGTTATAGCTACATTGTTTCTATAGCAAATATTGGCTTTATGAGCCTAAAGCTCTCATTTGATTAAGCGTATTATGGAGGTCAAATGAGTTGGATTTTTTGTTTCCTGGAATGACTTTAAATCACATTATAAAACCTTGGAATGTCAGAATAATTATAGCCATGTTTGTTTGCTTCACTTGTTGTTGGGTAATGTAATGGAGACTAATACAGTGCTAGCATTCTTAAGGCTAAGCTGGTTTCCAATGGATGATGCATTTCAATTCCACCCTTGTTTGTAAAAAGTTATTGTAACTCAACATTTCTCACAGCGTTTATCAGAAAGATTGTGTTTCTTGTTGGAGTTGTGGAATAAGTTAACTTAGAATATGTCACTTATAGAATATCCACCATCTTAAGTTTTTTTGGTTTCGTTTGCCTCCCCAAAAGCACAACAGTCAAAACTGAAAGTGATTTAGTTGAGTGATATAAGTGCCTTTTGAGAAAACAGTATTAGTTATGGTGGTGGTTTGGAGGGATTTATAACTTGTTGCATGTGATATATGCAAGTTCAACTAAAAAAATAATGAGCTTTGTAAATTTTAGCTATTATCATGATTTTTTAATACTTGAATTTTGTAAAATCAGAGCAGCAGGTAAGCTAGCTTTTCAGAAATTAGACAATAATCTTTACAGTTGAAAGTGAACCTGAAATATTTACCTGGGAAGTAGCAGTATTTTAAGTGCTTAGCCATAGTATTGTTTACATCTGTCAGCATGCTGAGGATACACCTCTTGGATTGAATTCTCAAAGCCTGATTTATGAATCTCACATGAACATCATACTGTGACATTTCACCTGTTCAGGATGGTGGTGCTTTTGGCTGTGCACCTACAGATCACTGCTGTAACCACAGCAATGATACTGGAAGAAAAAAGCTGGATCCTTGCTCAGTTGATGGACACATCATGTATCCAGTCTTGAACATTA